CACGGAGAAGACGACCCATATGGGTCGCCTTCTCACTGGAGAAGGCGACCCATCTAGGCCGCCTTTTTCGTTACCGGCAACCGTTTGCCTGTCATTTTGTTGCCTGAAATTCCGTTGTAATTTCGCCAGAGGGTTGCCAGAACTTTAATGACTTGTGATAGCGGGTCATTAATTGATTTTTGAGCTTCATTGCATCAAAATAAAGTGTTTATGTGTGTAATTGCATGCACCGTTAAAAAGTTTAGAGGGCTAATTGACTTTCAGCTAAAGTTTGAGGACTTATTTGATCATTTTTCCTTTTATTAATAATATATAGACAACAAAACCGTTCCTAAAAAAAATTAAAAAAATAAAAATAAAAAACAAAATAAACCATATAGGGGAAAGAAAACTAAACTCAAAAGGTTATAACCAAAGATCTTGTGGTCCAATGGTACCAAGTTGAACTCTCACATGGAAATGGTTGTGGGTTTGAGACTCAGTGAAGATGCAATTAACTCTTTGCGTTGTAATATATAGAGTTAATAGTATTCAAAAAAAAAAAAAAAAAAAAAAAATCTTCGCGTATCGATTTGTGTGTTTTGAATTAATCTTTTTCAAAGAAAAATACTATACTCTCTAAATTTACCTCTTGTCATTTTCAAATACAACAGTAGAACTCATAAGTTAATTGTTAAGAATTAGTCTTTCTCACTATAAATTAATAATAATGAATCCACAGTCGTAAGAAAAAGAGAAAAAACTAATCAATTAATATCACATTATATGATAAATTTAAGAATAAATCATTAAAATGTACCCGTTCAACTTTAAATGCAATGCCCGTTGCAAGTGTGGTGAATTACAACTCTATGATCAAATTTTAACTGTAGAAGGCATCTTTAAACCCGTACCATACTCAGACTAATCATTGTTCGTACCGGGACGATCCAATTAAGGGACAAAGTGTTGGCCACTTGACCAGATTGATTTTAAACCTCATGAAAAGCAAATGTTAATTTGAGGTACATTACTCTATCTTAATTCAACTGATATATACAAAAAAATTTAATTGATGTTCAATGTTAAGAAAGATTGAATATAAAAAATAATAATAAAAGAAAAAAAAAAAAAGTGGCGTGTTTAAGTGAGCAAAAGGAATGTGGGTAGGGGCTCATTTAAAGCAGAAGGACAATAAGGCATGCAGACTCCATTGTTTTGAGCCCTCAACTACTTTGCATGTGTGATACGTACATCAAAATGTGAGTCAGACTACTAACAAAGTAACCCTACTCACATCACTACTATACGTGCGTACAAGTGTATTTAATTTCATAGATGCATGCCCAATCAATTTCTCATACTACTCTCTCGTACTTTCGGGCCCGGACGTGGGGTCTTAAATTATGCGGAGGAATTGTATTCACTTTGCAAGGTGAACACAGTTCTAAAATTGTTTATAATTATGAATATATAGTTCAAATTTATGAACATATAATTTTGTAATTATGATTATAGAGATTCAATAATAGTGAATATGAAGTTCAAATATTATGAATATATAACTTTTGTTAAACAGAAAAAGACAGAGAGTGGAGAGGGAAATGTCAGGATCATCTTTTCATTCATCTCCACACCATGATATATAGTGTGTCCATTACAAAGGATATAAATAAATATACATAATGAGCAATCAAAACATCCGTTACATCCGTTACAAATGATGTCCACTAAATATGTTTATAACACTCCCCCTTGGACATTATTTGTCCACAATCTTGCTTCGATAAAAACTTGCTAGGAAAACCCTGTGGGAAAAACCTAGACAAGAAAATGTACAAAAGAAAATATATTCATGCCTCATTAAAAACTTCACTAAGAAAATCACGTGGGAAAAACCTAGTTGAAGAAAAGAGTACATGATATATGTAAAAACATATATTGTATTGGTCGCCTCATTAAAAACCTTAACTTAAGAAAACCCTGTGGGAAAAACTTAGCTAAGGGAAAAAGAGTACAACCATAAGCCTTCAGGGCACAATCGGCATAATCTTCAGGATTTTGGGGTTTGTCTACTTAAGCAATTATTTTGCAACTTTTCCCCATTTACATTCATATATCATACTCATGCCTCGTTAAAAACCACACTAGAAAAACCCAATGGGAGAAAACTAGTGAGGAAAAGAGTACATGATATTGATGTATTTATGTGTTGCAAATAATGCGCAACTGTTAGTCTTTTATGACTTAATCTTCAGGATTTTACATTCAATCTTCCGGATTGATTCGAGTAAATGTACTTCCTGTCTCCCCCTGAAGATAACAATCTTCAAGTTCTACATATATTTCAAAAATTTGAAGAAATGGATTGGACAAATCTTCTGGATTGTCACTAGAGTAAATATCTAATAATTTATGGCTCTTCTAGAGCTCATATAACATTTGTGCAACACAAGTGTTATTGTCCTCATTTTGAACATTTAGGGAAATTCATTGTATAACCAGTTTGGACTTGGCATTGTAGGGATCAAACAAAACAGCCAGTACCCAAGTAACCTATTAAAACCGTATCATGGTTTATTACATAAATGTCATGTCTTTGTATCTCGAAGATACCGGAGGATATGTTTAATCATTATTCAAGTACTTCATTTGTAGGGGAGCACTAGATTTTGCTAGCAATTTAATCGCAAATATGTTGCGATTATGGAACTTCTGGTTCTACAATGGTGCTCCAACGATAATGAAGTAAGGGACTTCGAGTCCAAAAAGGTTCCTTATCTGCTTCAAGAGATTATTAGGCAACCTTTAGTTTGATAAAAACATGACACTTATATGGATATAGACATGTGAAAAAGCATTTTTAGATGTAGGCTGACTGGTGTATATAAAAAAAATCTTCAAAGAAAAACTCGATCTTCAAGTCGAGATAATACTTATAGCTTTCACAAGCTTTTTATTTCAAATGTCTCAGTCTTTAAACATGAACTGACATTATCAAGCTCTTTATATATTTCATTGATGTTTACACCATCAATCTTGACTGAGATAATAAATAATAAATAAGTTCATTATCAACCCTTTATCGAGCACACAATGGTACATATTATTCCTTCAATGAGGATATTAACTCCATTCGCAACCCTTTAAAGAGTAAATAATGACACGTAATAATACTTAAATAAATCCTCATTTCGAGAATTATGAATCCATCCAGGATTTCTCAAAATAAATTTAACTTCTGGTTCTATAATGGTGCTCCAAGGATAATGAAGTAAGGGACTTCGAGTCCAAAAAGGTTCCTTATCTGTTTCAAAAGATTATTAGGCAACCTTTAGTTTGATAAAAACATGACACTTATGCATATAGACATGTGAAAAAGCTTTTTTAGATGTAGGCTGACTGGTGTATATAAAAATGTTAAACAGAAAAAGACAGAGAGTGGAGAGGGAAAGGTCAGGATCGATGGCGACGGCGTCCAGGCGGCGGCGGCGGAACTGGTTCCTGGTGACGATGTTGTTGTCTTCCCCTCCGATCTCTATCGACGCGGCGTCATTTAGTCAGTCGTGCAAGACGGAGTACCTAGCGTTGCGACGAGTAGAGACGGCGAAAGCGGCACTGGTTTTGGAGATCGAAGCAAACCTTGTCTTCTGCGCTTATCATTATTCCTTCTATAAACAACTAGACCACCGGTCTGGACAGACATGGAGTTTGCGGGATTCACTATCGGCTGTTCACCGATGATGGTTAGAGCATCATCTGCTGATAACGTGTTAAACAGAAAAAGACAGAGAGTGGAGAGGGAAAGGTCAGGATCATCTTTTCATTCATCTCCACACCATGATATATAGTGTGTCCATTACAAAGGATATAAATAAATATACATAATGAGCAATCAAAGCATCCGTTACATCCGTTACAAATGATGTCCACTAAATATGTTTATAACAACTTTATAATTATGAACATATAGTTCAGTAATTATGAACATAGAGTTATGTAATTGTGAATATAGAATCCAATATTTATGAATATGAAATTCAAAAATTATGAATATATAGCTTTATAATTATGAACATATATTTCAGTAATTATGAACACAAACCGTGTTCACCTTGCAAGGTGGACATGATTTAATGATTCTAAGATTGGGGATTCAATCTTTTAGGAACAATAGTACTCTCTTGTAACTGGACTATAATGGGCATTCGTTGTTTTACGTTTTATTTGATGCTTGCAATTAATAATGCATAAGACCACTAGTACATATTACATATTTCAACTCCGTACTGTCTTGATTTATGCAAAAGTTTAAATATTGAGAGATTATTTGAATATAAAGTTAGACCTTACGTTAAGATATGTTATGATGTTGAAGTTTATATTATGAATTATATTCGTTAAGAGAACGGGAAGTATACAAAATCTAATAATATTTAATTATGTGTGTATACAATGCAACGTGTAGATTGTGGCATGGGGGACATAGTACTGTTGATCTGAGAATGAATTAGTAGGAGAGGAGGGTCAAAAAGGCCGCAGGATCCTAAGCACTGTACAACTGTTGTTATCAATAACTCGAAACAAATTAAAAGGGAAAATAGAGAAGCCATTTGTGTGCTGAATCCAGCCTTTCCATGCCCATCACCCTACCTTTCCACACTTGTCTTTTCATCATTTGCCACCGCATAAATCAAAATTAACTGATAAGCTAACTATATTAATCGATCATATCAAGAAATTAAAGAAGTAAATATCATTTTTTTTGGGTACATTCAGCATGACCTGTCGTTGAAGTGGTAACTTTTGTTGAGCATATAAGTAATTAATGTGCAATCCAACTATAAGGTTAGACGTTTAGTTGAGATGGGCACATGCTTTTAATTTGGTATCAGAGTCATGTCAAAGGTCCCTGCGTCACCTGATTAAAAAAAGAGACTATGATCCACGCTGTGGGGGAAGAAAAAGTTGTCTTTATAATGTATTTATGTATGTGTACGTAGTAGATGGAATGAGCATTTATTCATGGTAATAGTAGTAGTAGAGATGAGAGACGAACAGAGAAAAGAGAGAGAGAGAGAGTAAAGGTTTAGATTGCAGGTAGCACTGGGTGTGGGAACAAAGAAATGGGTCCATTCTCCTACTAATTATAAGCTTTTTGGCACAAAGACACGATCCGGGTCTGCCGCTTCATCACCACCTCTATCTCCTCTCCCATCTTTCTTTTAACCATTCTCATCTTTCCTTTCCTTTGATTTCAACTCCATCCATCTTTATTTGGCATACAACGAAATTAAGTTTCTGAAATGGAGGATCATCACTACGGAATGGCGGATCTGAGGCCGTTCATGAGCAACACCTCCCTCTTCACTTCCATTCCGCCGCCGCAGACGGCGGACATACTCTCCGCCCATCACTACGAGATGGTCATGGCCCCGCCTCGCCCAGGACTGCACCACGACTTCCTCGCCGATTCCAGCACTAGCGCCGGAGCTGCGTCTAGTGGCGGCGCCGGGTTCAGTGGGCTGGAACTGGAAACCGCCGCCGCCGCCAACGGCAGCGGGCGGTGGCCCAGACAGGAAACTCTCACCCTTCTTGAAATCCGATCACGACTTCATCCCAAGTTCAAAGAAGCTAATCAGAAAGGCCCCTTGTGGGATGAAGTCTCCAGGTATTATTCCATTTCTTGACCTAATTTTCTTGAATTGCTTCTTCAATTTCCTGGTTTTGTTTGATCGAGATCGAAGATATATATATATATATAATAATGTTTTTTAGCGGCCCTCCCAAAGCTGTCTGCTTTCCAAGAAATTTAAGCAACCCTCTTACCAAATTGGGCAGGTTGTAGACATCTTGACAGACAAAGAATATGAGATTGCCTATCATTAGTAAAACATCAGTATCACATGAAAGCTAGCTAGATAGCTGTTCCAAAACTAGGGTTCTTCCTCAATTCTTTAGCATTAATTAATAATGTTTTCTAATTAATACATTAAAATAGGATTATGGGCGAGGAACACGGGTATCAAAGGAGTGGGAAGAAGTGCAGGGAGAAATTTGAGAATTTGTACAAGTATTACAAGAAGACTAAAGAAGGAAAAGCAGGAAGACAAGATGGGAAGCATTATAGGTTCTTTCGCCAGCTTGAAGCTCTCTATGGTGAAACCAGTGCAATCTCCGACCAACCCGCCGGCAACACTTTCTACTGCAATAATGTCGTCGTAGGAAACCATGGAGGGACCTCTTTTCCCCAAGCTTCAAAGCTTTCCGACAGCCTTAGCCTCTCCAATATGAACTCCTCTGATTTCGAATCCACCTCCTCGGGCGAGAGTGATGACGACGATGAACTCAACAGTGGGGAAAAGGGGAAGAAGAGAAAGGGGAGGAGGGGCTGGAAGTGCAAGATAAAGGAGTTTATAGACCAGAAAATGAGGAAGCTAATGGAGAAACAAGAAGCTTGGTTGGAGAAAATGATGAACACCATTGAACAGAAAGAGAAAGAGAGGATGATAAGGGAGGAAGATTGGAGGAAGCAAGAGGTTGGTCGGATGGAGAGGGAACACAAATTCTGGGCTAACGAAAGAGCCTGGATCGAAGCTCGAGATGCAGCTTTAATGGAGGCACTCCACAAACTAACTGCAAAAGAAATACCAAAATCTCCAGACAATCATGAGGATCAAAACTGGCAAGAAGGCGAGATCACGAAGCTTATACAGCTTAGGACTAATATGGAATCAAGATTCCAGCAGCACATTGGGTGCTCAGATGATGTTCTGTGGGAGGAGATTTCCAGCAAGATGTCTTGTATGGGGTACAATGGGAATAATAACAATGCAGCCATGTGTAGAGACAAGTGGATTAGCATTAAATGCAACAACAAGAGAAGGAAAGAAAACCCAGCAAATTTTTTCACCCACCATAACTTCCAGATCAACAACAATGGAGGATCCCTATCATATTCTGCACAACAGCCTTCACCCAATCATCATCATCACCATACCAATACCTCACCGAACCATGGCGGATTTAGGTTCTTGATGGGCGACAGTGCCGAGAATTTATGGGAGAATTATGTGTTGAAACCAAGCAAAGGAGGAGACAATATATAATTCACCAATAGCTAATTAAGGATCATATCACACTACTGTGTAACATATATTGTATTCTCAATGATCCTATTGCCAGTCTTGAGACCACTTATTGTAACAGTAAGTAGCTGAAGAGAAGATGGATCAAAGATTGTGTTAGAATGGATTAAGGTAAGTCATCTTGGTTTTCGATTTCATCATAGGAAGATACAACTTTGGGATTATCATCTATCTGTGTTTTTATTAAGGTTGCTAACTGATGATGTATGTTTATTAAGGTCTCTATTATTAATTTGTCCTAGGTATAGCTAGGTTAGGGAGAGTAATTGATTAAAATTTGGGTATGTTCTCCTTCTCATTTCTGTTCCATCTTATTATTTTGCTAATCCTAGAATTTGGGTTTCCTTTCTCTTTATGCATAGAAAAAGAATATGTAGCCATATAGGGGATTGACTTTGAAAGACTTAATAGCATGAAAAGAGCATAATGTGTTCACTAATAATGTGAGTGAGTACACTTTGAGATGCCATCCACTAAGACCCCATTACTTATAACAATATAATGCCACTTTACAAAACCCAAAATTATTTTGTGATGGGTATCTATTCCAAAACTATAGCAATCATCATGGACCAGAATTATTTTGTACCCTTTCAAACTTTTCAAACTGGTACGAGAGTATAAAATTATTTCATGTTCAGTGGAATCACTATTTTTTTCATATTTGTCTGCCACTTAAATAAGATGGTAGGTCCATATATAAAGTGTAAATTGCGTGTAACGTCACATTAGTAATTGATTCTCAAATGTGTATAGGAGAATTGCATCTCAACTATGCACATCTCATGAATTAGATTTGAATTATGTGCATTGACTAATTAATTAAGCATCATTTTCACCTCTTTCTTAGTGGACTATGCTACTTTAATTTGGCCCAGAAGGAAATTAATGATTAAAGGGAAATAATACACACTATAATGATATAGAATGCATTAGTACTTCATTTTGTTGAAACTAGAAATGCTAAACAAAAATGCTGATAAACAATTTCAATTGTGTGGACTTAAATACACTATATATATCCAATTCTATCCCTCATAGATATTATATATTATATTTTATTTGTCATAAATATGAGCATCTAGATACAATAAATAACTATATACAAATTTTTCTGGCTCCGAAGCCCGGCCCCACATCCCATACTTACACGGTAACTCAGCGGTCCATTAGATGGGAAGACTAGTGTTTGGTGTCCACTACATTAAATGTAACTCCCACAATACAGTTACTAGAGCTTGATCATGTGTCCTTATTCACAATTTACCATCCAGAAACTAATTGAACGGCTTGTGTGGGCGTTAAGCTGGTATAATTTCAACAGTTATAGAACATTTAAAGACTGTCTAGTCTGCTTTTCACCAAAAGAACCCCATGCATGTATTAATGTGGAGTATAAAAATTGTTGCAACTGTCCTCTAGGTTACCTTTTTTAAAGAAAAAAGAGTTCATTGCTCATTATATAACATAATTTAAAGACAATATATCAATCATATGGTACAACTAATTATTGTATTACTTACCAGAAATGATAGCCTGGAGTGGAAAACAGACTAAAAGGTGATTTGTTTAGGGCAAAACAATGAGGCAGTTGAAACATCATCGCCCTTAATTAAGCAATTAAGTACACTTTTCACATACATACATATATATATATATATATATATATACACATGCATGCATGTATACATACATACATATAATTACTACTGTTGTGTACTACAACTTAGCACTGTTTGATCGTCAGCCTTTTGCAGACATTTACGACAGTACGTAGTCCGTAAAGTTAAATAAAAAGTAGGAAAACTCAAGTGAGAAATTTCACCAAAAAGTGGAGCTTCCACTCTGCAGATTTCCCTGCTGCACACTAACACTAACACTACTAGTCTTCAGAAAAACCCATGCAATAACACCTCAACATGCACATCACACTCTTCCACCACCACCCCCCTTAACTAACCCTAATTAATTTTATCGTGCCAAAATAATCTTCTTCGTGATCGAGTTAACATTCTCAAAATCTTAAGTAAGTTGTGATGTCGGATTATAATATATATATATATATATATATATATATATATATATACCTTTTAACTCAATCAGCTCACAGCTATCAGCTAACCGTCATTTACTAAACAGGGCTGAAATCTAAAAATTGGTAAATTGATAGATGAAGTATGATCTTAGGAGTGTAAAGATAAGGAACCCAACTCCCTAGGCTTCCTTAAATCTCACAGACAAAAGAGTTCTCAGTCAAAAAGAAGCGAAAATGAGTTCCCACAACTACAGGTCTGGGAATTTGGGATATAATTTTTTTTACGTAATCAGCTTTTATGGATGATGCCGTAATGATATGACTAGTAACTGACCACAACTCAAAGCTAGAATGCAGTTTCAGCTTTATTTAGTTTCCCAGGCCAGATCAGATCCTCTCTTCTCTCCTATCCTCTCATCTCAGTATCCCTATTTGGAAACCTGCTCAAATGTTTTGTTGAAAGGAGCTCTCCCACTTCACTCTTCTTCATTCACGTAAACTCTCTTTAATTTAAAGCATCTTCATATTCACTACACAACCAAGGACTACTCTATATTTTACTCCGTAATTTGTATGAATTCAATCTCACTTTTTTCTTTTTTTGTCCTAAGAGATTACTTTGGCCTAAGTAAATAAGGGAATTGATATTTTTTAATCAAATAAAAACTGATACTTTTCATTATATATATATATATATATATATATATATATATATATATAGCTGCCCGGATTTAACTCACTGGTTTAGTAGGCAACATTTGGAAAAGGGGACAAGGTTCAAATTCCGGTAGTGGCAGTGTGAGATTATATCTAAAGTGAGCAGATATATTCCTCCCATTTTGGCTCCTTCCATGACTATGTTGTCCTTACCCTGATCCCTTTTGCTTAGCAAACACAAAAGTACACAAACTTCGCCCTTAACTCAATTTATGGCAATTAGACCATTCTAAGGACAACAATTAAAGCACAAAACTCCTTCAAAATATCCCACAAACATAGTGTATTTGGCGCTTATCAACTTTATATCATTTTTCAGAGCAAGCTAGAACCCTTAATTCACACTTTGTTTCAAGTTTAAAAAAAAAAAAAAAAAAAAAATTCAAAGCCACAAGAAAGCATTTGGCAGTTACTAGTCGGCTATAGAGTTTAAGCAATTTTATAAGTTTTTTGATGACTAGTCAGTAATTACTTGACTTGAAGCAAACTCTACCATGTAAGTAAATTGATCAATGTAGTTCAATTGATTTAGTTACTAAAGTGCTTAGTATTTTCGTTAATTTCTTCTTCTTCTTCTTCTTTTTTTTTGGGGATAAAGTACAAATAAGCCACTGAACTATTTAGGAAAAAGCAATTAAGCCATCGAACTTAAATAACCCCCAAATAAGCCATTGAACCTGGAAAAAAAGAGCAATTAACATTTTTAACAGGTTAACTCCAGGTTTTTATTGACTGGATTGCCAAATGTTTATTTTATTTACGTTTTTTTATTATTATAATCCATCTACATAGTAATATATTTTAAAGTAATTATAATCAAAGTAGTTTTGTCTTGTCTAGATCTAATTTATTTGTTTATTATTATTTTTTTAAACAAAAGATCTAGTAAAAAAATAATAATAAATAAACAAATCAAATCTCAACAAGATAAAACTATTTTGATTATAATTATTTTAAAATATAATACTATCCAAGTGGATAATATTAATAAAAAAAATATACGTAAATAAAATAAACATTTGGCAATCCAATAAGCAAAAACTTGGAGTTAACCTATAAAAAATGTTAATTGCTCTTTTTTTCAGGGTTGAATGGCTTATTTTCTCTTTTTTCCGGGTTCAATGGCTTATTTGATGGTTATTTGAGTTCGATGGCTTAATTGCTGTTTTCCAAATAGTTCAGTGGCTTATTCGTACTTTATCCCTTTTTTTTTTTTTAGAGTTTTGTCTTTGTATGGACGAAGGATATCAAAAGCAACACTCTCAATGGATATCACAAGCAACACTCTCACAACTCAGACTAGGGATTTTTTTTTTAAATTGAAAGCTCTCAAAATAAGGTAAAAGCAGTGTCGAAAAAGACGCTAAGAGTTCGATTTTTTATTTTATTTATTTTTATTTTTTTAGGGAGTTATTCTAAAAAAAAAAGAATAAAAAAAAAATTGTGGTTCGACCCCCTAGACTGCCTAGGCGCCCGGCCGCGGAGGAGGCCTATTTTGGCGTTCCTCGACAAAAAGGACAAAAGTTGCAAAGTCAATTATAACTTAGTAACAAAAAGTAAGCACAACCAACCACATAACTCAACAAGTAGGGACAAATTAAATCTTACAATTACTCTATAATTTAACACAAAAAGTGCGATTTTCTAATGTTTAATTAATTTAAGAAATTAAAAAGATAAATAGTCAATTGATTTTTAACAAATCAGGAACAGTCATACATTGAATATTACATGCACACACAAGGTGTATGTGTGTGCAAAATGAGCTTTTTGTTTTTAAGTCAGTACGAAAACATGCAATTATTATTCGATTATGTGTATTGGATAAATCTTTTCTTGTGATCTAGTCAGTAAAAAATCATAAAAAATAAAACATCATAAGTTACTTATAATTGACCGATTTAAACTACAAAATGAGCATTTGTTGCATCATATTAAGGGTGCACTAGGAATTATTCCCATTACAAAGATAATATCTCATTTTCCATGGTCCAAGTGAAAAAAAAAAAAAAAATCCCTCTGTTTTTGAAAAAAAAAAAAAAATTATTTTTAAGAGATAAGGGTCAAATAGGTTCTTCAACTATAGGCCAAAGTGTAATTAGTCCCCTAAATTAAGAAATGCTCCAATTAGACATTTCATCTCTTCACTTTTATACAATTTAGTCTAACTTCTTAAATTTGTGCAATCAACTTATTTTACAAGTAAACTCAAAGTAATAGCATGTAAAATTGATTTTTTTTTAAAAATAATTTTAAAATACATTTTTTAAAAAAAATAACAAATTGTTGGCTTCTCCGTCCAATTGGACAAAGAAGCCAGGCAGGCTTTCTTCGTCTAGTTGGACAGAGAAGCCACCGCTACCAGAGGCTATTTATTTTTAAATTTAATTAATTTATATTGAAATGTGTTTTTTATTTTAATTAATTTTAAATTT